TTTCCTCTATTTCCCTTGACTCTCCTCCTGTCCCACTATCATGCTCAGTCCCCACCAGGATTTCAGCACTTCCTCTTGGTTAAGTTCCCCTTGATCCTGCCCTACCAGGTCTCCCACACCCACCACCCAGGGGCTCAGTCATCAGAATGATTGTGAGGATGACACAGATAGGAGTGTTTTGTTCTGTTGTGTATAAGGTAGCTATGGGTTGGAACCAACTCAATGCCACCTAACACCAATCTTTTTTTTTTTTTTAATCATTTTATTGGGGACTCTTACAGCTCTTATAACAATCCATACATCCATCGTGTCAAGCATTTATTTGCACATTTGTTGCCATCATTCTTGAAACATTTTCTATTTGAGCCCTTGGTATCAGCTCACCTGTTTCTTTCCCTCCCCAACTCTCCCTCACTCATGAGCCCTTGATAATTAAATTTTGTTTTCATGTCTTACACCAACCTCTATCTCCCTTCACCCACTTTTCTGTTGTTCATTCCCCACCCCCACCCCATGGGGTATACATTATGATCAGTTCCTGCTTTCACCCCCCACCTTCCTCTACCCTCCTGGTATGGCTACTCTCATTATTGGTCCCGAGGGCTTTATCTGTCCTGGAGTCCCTGTTTTTCAAGCTCTTTTCTGTACCCATGTACAAGCTCTGGTCTAGCCAGATTTGTATGGTAGAATTGGGGTCATGATATAGGGGGAAGGAAGCACTTAATAACTACAGGAAAGTTGTGTTTCATTGGTGCTATCCTGCACCCTGACTCATCCCTTCCTTGTGACCCTTCTGTAAGGGGATGTGCAAATGTCTACAGATGGGCTTTGGGTCTCCACTCTGCCCTCCCCCTGGTTTGCATCGATAGGATTGTTTGTTCTGGGTCTTTAATGCCTGATACCTGACCCTGTTGACACCTCGTGATCACACAGGCTGGTGTGCGCCTTCCACGTGGAAGCAGTTCACTGGGTCTTCATGGAGCTGCTGTTTGGGTTCCGAAAGCCAACCTGTCACTTACCAGTCAAGCACTTTTCCAGTTTGGTCATCAAGCCAATCTTTCCCATTAAATATATATATTTTTTAAACCACCAAAAAATACAAAACATACCCTAAACATGCAAATCCATTGCCATCATGCTAACTCATGGCAATTCCAGGAAGACCAAGTGCCAAAAGGTTTTATAGAAACTGACTGAATGGCCTTTCTTTCAAAAGACCCCTAAGTAGGTTCATTTGTCCATCTGTTCGGAGTTGTGCACAAGCCATGTGTGACTATACCTGGTGATGTAAACATTCTGCACAACCCTTGCTAATGGGCTTGAATATTTGAACTTGACCCCTTCCATTTTTCCTTGACGTTTCAAAAACCACATCTCTGGGTCCTCTGACTACCTTAAGCTACGTCTTAAAAAATTATCCTACTTTGCATTTGGTACTTCTAAACTTAACCATACATAAAAAATGCTTTTTGCCATCTAGTTTTTGGACCCCTTTTCATTCTACATTTCTATATAATAGTTTTCAGAGATGCAGTGTGTACGCTATGTAACTGACTTGTCCACCATTACAGTTGTTGCAACTACAACTGGCTACAAAGCAGAATAGTTAAAAATCAATGGTCTCTGTATGATGTTAAGATGGGGTTGTTTGGTCCATACCCATCATGATTGCTGTTAGAATTAACCGGTTAAACTGCTGAGTAATTTCACCATGGACTGTAAGAATATTTTAATATCTCATGTGTGATTAATTTTAGTTTCTAGAGGAGTGGCATGGGGTCTCAGATGGTACTAATTAGGACCGGAGAGCCAGAGGAGACCAAACGGCATCACTACGTGCTCCCTCTCCGGGGTGGTCTATAGTCTGAACTATGTATTTTAAGCATCATAGCAGCCTCTGCAAGGAAATTGAATCAAAACCTATTTTGTTATGGGATGAAATTCTTTTAAATTTTGTTGTAGATCATATCTAATCCAAATCCTTCAAGTTGTGGTTCAAGTAAAGAAGCTACTGATAAACATGTTAGGCAAAATAAATACTTTATTGTTTTAATTATTTTTTTTTTTTTAGAAATCAGCCTTTGTGTGATAACTCAAACATTCATAGACCTTGTAGTTATTCTTTCAAAGAATACTGTTAACATCTGAAGAATTTTGATTAAAATTTTACACACAAAGAAACATGAGTTGAAAACTATAAATGCTAAAAGAATGCCAATAACATTTGATTATTACTTTATATATCTATCTAACACATATAAAACCAAATAGGGCACATTTTCTTTTTATATCCCATAAAAAGTGAATTTTTTCTAATGGTCAAACCATGTGTGGATGAGAACAGATCTAAATTACTTCCAATTTGAAAAGGCTAAAACCAGCTTATCATATTTATCCATTCAAGTTGTAGGCCCTGTTGCTTTGGCATTACTCCACGCTTGTGTCTGAAGGGCAGGAGAGCCCACTCCTTCTAATAAAGAAGTCTGGACAAGGCAAAAGGCACATAGTGTTTAATATAAGGCATTCTACACCCAAAGAAGATGACTATGCAAGCTATGATAAAATTACACTTGAGTAAAGGACAAAGGCTTACAGTGTAAGAACATTAAGTAGTTGGTAACCTCATATAATTCTATCACATTGCTATTAGTAACCTCCTCAAGAATTATTAATTTTTACAACAGAACAGTTTTTCTTCTTGGAAGTGACACTAATTAACAGTAGTGGAGGGAAAATCATTGGTTGCTTCAAGCTCTCAAAAAATGATTTCAGTTATTGCACAGTAAATACCTCATAGAGGTCAGTGTTTTAAGAAGCTATTCTGGAGAAATATGTTATTTATAAGTTGGTTAAGTCTGGAGGTCTTCAAGTTTTAAAATTAATTCTACATAGGGGATCAATTAGAAAATATTGAAAAACAAATAAATATTAGGTTTTCAAACGGCTACAGTTTTGATAGTTCAGAAAAGTGCCTAAATCGCTATGTATATTTGAAAGATATGCCCAGAAGAAACAAACACTGTACATGTATACAGTAGCCCAGTTCAGCAGCAAGTATCTTCTGAAACACAGATAACACCTCCACCAGTGTACAATGGTAACTCCAATATGATACAGCTAATACGATCCATGTCAACCTAAAAAGAAAGAAAGACAGTAACATTGAGTATATTTTGACTATTACTAGAAAGTTCTTTGACAAAGGAAAAGAAAATTGTTTTTTTCTGTGATCTCTATGCCTTTTACTGAGTGCACTTTTCCTTATGGTTAGTTTTGAAAAGAAAACCTTCGGGCTTTTAATAACTTAACTCATCAAATACTTCCTAGTATCTACAGATGAAAGTATAGATTAGTTTATTTTTATTTTGAAAATTTATAGAATGCTTATGTCTATTACTCTTGCAATGTATTATTCTTTCTGCACTCACAAAGTCTTACTATGAGCAACTACATTATAAAATGTAGTAAGAGCCTCAAAAGAAAACTAATTTTTAATTTATTTTACTAAGTAAAACATCTTTATAAATTATGATAATTATATTTGGACATAGTATTTTGTCTTTTAAAGAGACATTTACCCTAAGATATTAAGAACCTGTTACTCTGAACATCATGCCCCATAAACTATATATGAAATGCCATTACAAGCAATATTTTCACAATGTTCAGGCTTGAAGAACTAAAATAACTCAGTCTCTCTCTCACTGCCACTGAGTCCATTCTGGTTCACAGTGACCCTCTGGGGCAGGGCAGAACTGCCCCTGTGATGGTAACTACTCAAAATTGGAACTCTTATGAAAGGAGAAGGCCCCATCTTTCCCTGAGTTGCTGCTGGGTTCAAACTGCTCACCTTGCAGTTAGCAGCCCAACTTGTAAGCACTATATTACTAGGGATCCTATATAGTCTCTTGGAGATTAGTATTATAGGAATTGACTTGCTTGTATTTTTAATGGCCTTGTATGAGTTTTCGTAAATTAGATGCATTTTAAAAAGAAAAAGTTAGCTGCAGAAACAGATTTGTCTACTAAGAAACAAACCATCAAAAAACCTAAGTGCTAATTTATAATTCAACTAAAGGAAAACTTACCTGTAAATTCTATTTAATGACTATTTATCTTGCTTAGAATTAGATGCTTTACTTGAAGATACTGCTGCCAAAAGTCCACTTACAATTTCCCGTCTGATTTCTCCAACAATAGACTCTTTAATCTGTAACAGAATAAGAGAGAACAATATTATTGAAATTAATTTTCATATTTTCAAAAATAGAAATAAAAAGAACCCATTGTTGCAATCAAGTAAACTGTACAGATAACAAGATTCAAATGAATCTTCATATGATACAGATAGGTCAATGGAAAAGAGTGTCTACCGGTCCTCAAACCCAGATCAACATCACAATACTTAAATTGAGAACATTAATATTATTTTACAGATTTAAAAGCTTTCAGTAAAGCAAGAGTGAAAACTCTAGAATTAGTGACGGGGTGAACTTATGGTGGTGACCTAGACATTCTGTGTCATTTCTCCAAAATAAAGATCGGAGAAACCAGTGAAAGAGATACATCAAATGAGAGCATAAAGAATTGGATCAAACACTGGAGGAAACAATTAAATGAAAGCTATAAACAAGGAGACAGGGCAGGGGTGCCCTGTCAGCTGGTCTTGTGCACCATGGCCATTTTAAGAAACTGTGACTGCATTGAAAGGACAATGGAGTAGAACTGAGTAATGGAGGGCAAAATTAGCTAAATAAAAGGCAAATCCCTTAGTACCATTCTGTTAGAGTAATTATAAAAAAAGAAACCAGGTTGAAATTACAATAGAACAATTGTTTTCAATTTTGGATCTCCAGAACAGGCCATATGTCAGGCCACAAAGCAAGGTTCAGTCAATTTAAAGACACCCAAATAGTACATACAACATACCTTCTCAGATCACAACACTATAAAAGTAGAAATCTATTAACAGGAGGAACATGGAAATAACCAACTAAGAACTATTGGGCAGTATAAGAAATAAAAAAAGAAAATGTAAAACTCTAGAATCAAATAAAAAATGATAAAAAAGACCAAAATTTTTGTGACACAGTCAAAGCAGTGTTCAGAGGTCGATCTGAAATAATAAACACACACAGTAAAAAAAAGGAACGAACCCAAAGATCAACACCTCCATCCAACAGTCCAGCAACTAGAAAAGAACAAAAACAGAGGAAATAATAAAGGTTAAGCATGACTATGTGAGACAGAGGCAACAAACAGAATCAACAAGACTAGAAGTTAGTTCTTTGAAAGGATTGGTGAAATGTTAAAACAACTGAAGTAAAAAGGGTAACAGCAAGATAAAGGAAATGAGTACATTTCTAGAAGAACACCTAAATACTGATCGAGGTAGACAAATTGAACCCATAACAAAAGACCATAAATGAAATGGACAATAACAAATTGGCTCAGATGGCCTCACAAAAGAAATCTCGTAAACATTCAGAGAAGAGCTGATGTAAATTCTACTCATAATTGTCCAGAAGATAGAAAAGGCTCGTATGCTCACAAGTCCATTAATAACGTGAGCATAACCCTGGCACCAAAGCTAGAACTATTCTATTCCGGCTCAGAGTGACTCCATCTAGGCTTTCCCAGACGGTAAATCTTGGCAGAACAGTGTGTTTGACCACCAATTTTGCAGTTAGCAGCCCCAAGCTTAAGCCACAGCAAGGCAGGCTTCTACATCCTCAAAAAGACAACTAAAAAACAAAATTATAGGCCTATATCTCTCATGTACATAAAGGCAAACATTTTCAACAAAATCCTAGCCAAATGAGTTCAACATCTTATCAAATATATCAATAATGCATCATGGCCAAGTGAGAGTTATACCAGGTATGCAAGGATAGTTCAACATTAGAAAAGCAATCAACATAACCTATCACATAAATTAACAAAGGAAAAGAGCCATATAATCATATAAATCAATGCAGAAAAGGCAACTGATAAAAAATCAAACCTACTGTTTGATAAACCTCTCAGCAAAATAGAAATCAGAAGGGAAATTTCTGTATGTAATTATGGGTATGTACACAAACTAACTTAAGACAGATCAAAGATCTCCCTGTAAAACCTTAAACTGTAAATAAACTAAATCACTAGCCTACAAAATAGTAAATTTACATCAAAAGCCTTCTTGAAAAGAGTAAAAAAAGAACCTAAAGACTGGGAAAATCAGAGGAATAACAACATATCTCACAAAAACTTAAGATCTAATTTTAGAAAACTTCAACATCTTCAACAACAAAAAAGAGAATTCAATTTAAGAATAGGTACAAGACACAGACACTTCATGAAAAAAGGTATTTAGGTGGTTAATAAAAATATGATGGTATGTTTATAGTTATTAGCCTTTAGGAAGATGTATATCAAGCCTACAATGAAATATAATCTTACTCTTACTCTGACACCAATGGCTACTATGGTGGATTAGATATCTTCTACTATGGATTAAAAAAGAAACGTAAAGTAATAAATATTGGCAGAGATGGAGGAGGGAGATTGCAATTCTTATACACTGCTAATGGAAATGAAATTCCTTAGTAAAATTAGAAATGGAAATACCATATTATCCTACAATCCATTACTAAGTACCCAGGGAAGCTTAAGAAAAATTTTTAAAAATTAGAATTCAAAGATAATGGAAGAGTACTGTGTTAGTCCAGTGCACTATCTCAAGTACCATGAACTTTCTGATGCCTCTTCATATATCTGAAGAGAAATATGAGCCATGACACAATAGATCTATGCACCCATGCTCACTGTGGCACTAGTCACAATAGTGAAATCATGGAAACCACCCAAGTGTCCAACAATGGATACATGGATTAACAAACCATGATGCATACTCAAAATGCAATACTGCTCCAAATTAAAGAATTACGATGAATCAGTTAACACCTCATAATATGGAGCAAAGAAGATTAAAAATAATAAAAGCTCAAGGAAACAATTCGTTCAAAGGACTAATGGACCACAGCCTGCACTTGGCTGAGACTAGAAGAACTAGATGGTGCCCACCAACCACTCTGGTAGAAATCACAGTAAAAGTGCCTGGACAGAATGGGAGAAAAATGTATGCCTAAATTCAAAATAATTAAATAAAACAACAAAGATGTGCTGATCTGATAAGAGATTGGTGGAACTAAGCCTAACCCTGGGCACCACCTTTCAGCCACGCAGAGCAGCCTCTAAAGGGAATAATCAGCCACAGGAAACCACAGGGGCACCGTTCACGCGACACCAAAGCCCAGAAGGCAGGCAGAGGTAGGAAGGAAGGATGCAGGAAACCCGTGAAGCCAGGCAGAAGGCAGCAATCTGCATAGATAGTTAACTCGAAAACGAACGTGCTCGGTCAACGTTCAACCAAATCACAATAAAACGTAAAGAAAAAGGTACATTCACTTTTATGTTTTTATTAATATTTACCTTAATAAATATTAAGGTAATCAAAAGAATTAAGTCATGTTCTCATTGCAAAGAAAACTCATTGTGGGAAACAGAAGGATTTCTCCCAAGCTGTCCCCCAAATATATGCCAGACGTAGCTGCTTGAGAATGACTATACACTTGGAGGTCATCAGGAGTGGATTGGGGGTCATTCTCCCTGAGAGCTATCAGCTGTCTAGACCAAGCAGACACCACTGTTTATCCCACAAGTAGGGCCCACTCGCTTCTGATAAGGATAGTAGTGTGTTTCCTTGTAGGAGACACCAGAGAGGTCAAACCCGCCCAAGGATGAACAAGATTAGACTGCCATCATGAATCTAGGGTCCGCCCATCTTGTCACATGTATAATCCTAGACCTTCCCATTCCTATAGGCACAACCCTAGCTCATCCCTTCCTGTGACGTGTGATTCTGTAATCATGTCCCCCTAAAGTGATATAATGCATGGTTAGCTATAAAGAAAAGAGGCTCTCCCCAATTCCCGGGGCCCTCGGTCCCCGAGGCTGCTTCTGCTCTCGTAGCCGGGGTCCCCTCACGAGGACCACCAAGTGGGGCGGAGGTGAGCAATGTTACCATGTAATGTATCTGACTGCATCATTGTAATTATCTCTCATGCTCTAGATGACTTTAATATAATATATATATCAACCGTACAATTGGGCTTACTGAACCCGTAGGTAGTAGTAGTGGTGGGGGCTGGCCCCCCACCCCCCCCACATTTAATTTAATACTACAACTCATTACCAGCAAAATAATATACAGGTATATTCTCTGTTTATATAATTAAAAGCAATTCATCTGAAGAAGTTATAGACGATTTTCACCAAGGACTCAATGTATCCTAAAACATAAAAACATCCCCTAAACAACAAACTCTAAAGACAGACACTTTCTTTAGTTGTTAGGTACGTTTGCCACCTGCTTGAAATGTTTGCTTCACATGAGAAAAAACAGCTCGTCTGGGGTTTGGAAAAGGCAAATGAGCGGAGAGGCTATTCCATCAAGCTTTTCTTCTCCAGGTGCCCCCAAACTACGCATGTCTATCCGTTCCGTTTTCCCTCTGATGATGTATCATTTCCAAGTAGCCCTCTGTGAAGGCCTTACATACGCACCTCCTGAAATACACTGATAACGCCTTCCCAAAGTCGCCCTCGAGACTCTCTCACCCAGCTTTAAAAGTCTCCATGTCCAGTTTCCTGTCAGCCTGATCTAGTTCCTAAAAATGATCCAAGTACATCCTGAACACATTTCCATTGAAGTCTTTCCAAAACTGGCGCTGTATTAATATGTCATGTAAAATCGGTACACAACACATAGTTACTTAAGAAAACAAAATGCTCCCTCGCTACCGACCATCTGTACTGGAACGTATTTCAATAAACATGACCTTTTCATTTTGCCTTCTACCGTTAATTCTCTATTAGCATCAAAACCTTCTGGTGTTCAGAGCACCTCAGATTCACATTTTACATGAATCTGTGTTGGACACCAGTATTTTGGAAACCAAGATCCCTCCCTTAGCCAGAGTGCAAATGTGTTGAATGAGAACACCTGCAAATCCACATTCACAAAAGGCAGCATTTCTAGTCCTTCTCGCAATGTAACGTGGTGACGTTTACTATAGTTCCTCCTTCTCAACATGAAAAAACCAAACCAACGAAAAAACATTTTTTACCAACTAAAAATGTGCCAAAATTTCTAACACACACTGTTTGAACAGGCCATAAACATGGTAGGGTTCTGATAGAAATAAATGTTCCATCAGAAAGCAGTTGAAAAAAAATCATTCAATGAATGCATAAGAACAGTATATAATTATTAAAAGAATTCAGTATTACCTAGAAGTGGAAAATAAACCTTCTTAGAGATGGGCAGACGGTACACAGAACAGAAGCAACATTGCCGCTGCGCCAACTCCACCTCGCAGCGTGGCCTCTGTGTCAGAGTAGGACTGCCCCTGTGGGTATTAGAGACTAGAAATCTTCACAGGAGTAGGAAGCCTTACCTTTCTCCTATGGAGTGGCCAGTGGTTTTGAACTGCTGACCTTACAATTAGTTCCCCAACACATAACCCACTGTACCACGAGGGTCACACAAAAGATGATGAGGGCAGAAAGTGTCACAGAGGAGCATAGATCATGAGCTAGAGCAGGGAGGAACCAAGTGATAAAATATGAGGGGGTATCCCCCAAAACTGGAATTTTTTCTTTCAAAGCTATGTATTTGACATTTTTTACAAAACAACCTTGTCAGCTTCAAAGTACTCTATATTATACATTATACATTTATCTAATCTGTGATTGCTTTCTTGGAAAACATTTTTCAAACTCATCTGTTTGGATGGCTGACAGCACCTCCCTCATTTTTTCTTCACCAAATCGCTGCCCTTTCACATCCCTCTTCACTTGCAGAAACAAAAAGAAGACGCATGGAGCGAGGTCATGTGAGGAAGGCCAAGAGAGGCATGATTTTTTTTGCCAAAAAACCGGCGCACTGTGATGGCTGTGTGAGCAGGTTCATTGTCATGGTGGCAAAACCAGTCTCCCATCTGCCACAAATCGGGACTGCTCACAGGGACTCTGCCCCCTGGGGTTTCTAAGGCTGTAATCTTTACAGGAGTAGGTTACCATGTGCTTCCCACCCTACCCCCAGAGCAGCTGGTGGGTTCAACCTTATGACTTTTCAGTTGGCAGGTGACCACTTACCACTGTGCCACCAGGACTTCTTCCAAGAAAACCACTAAGACAGATGGCAATATGGCCTTGACCCACATAACTTCCCCCAAAGTGGTCTAAGCTGAAGTCAGGCTACTTGAGGTTAAGAAAAACCACCGCAAACCAGCTTTCACTGAGCTGCCTGTGGCTTCTAGCGACCCCTATGCAGAACAGAACCACAGTCCAGAGGATTTTTAATGGTTGTGACCTTTCCAAAACAGACCTTTCTTCTGAGACAGAAGAACCAGAGTTGGGTTGAACGACCAACCTTAGTTAGGAATCGAGCACTTACCTGTTTAAGCCAACCAAGAACTCTGAGATTAAGCAGAGAACTCCCCCATTTGCTCCAAAGAAGAAAGCAGTCTGCTCATGTGAAGACTGGCAGTTTTGGAGACAGTTCTACTATGTCCTATAAGATTGCCGCGTTGGAGTAAACTTGATGGCACTGGGTTTGATGTCAGACATTGTATTAGGACACAACTAAAAGAAGTTACAGGAACACCAACAAATCATGCATGTACCAAAACACATGTTTAAAGCGTGTTATATGTACTGCAATAATGATCAAACAAGAAGCATTCTCAGGAACCCTGGTGGTACTGTGAGTGAAGCTTTAGGCCCTGTAAAGATCTACAGCCTCAAAACCCGAAGGGACAATTCTAGTCTGTCATACTTGCAATCAACTTGATGGTAGTGGATGGTGACTCCTAAGGAGTTCTGGCGGTGTAACGGTTAAACACTCAACTACCAACCCAAAGACTGGCCCTATGAACCCACCAGGGCTCTTTGGGAGAAGGGCCAGTGATTCCTTAAGATGATTCCCAAGAAAACCCCGTGGGGCAGAGTCCTGCCTTGTCAGGTGAGGCCCCATGTGCTGGAATTGATTTGGTACACTCAACAATAAAAGTAACTGTAAACAGGTGCGGGCTACTGATCACATACATGACAGTCCACCCAGACAAATTCTATGACAGTGTACTATACACATCTAAGCAAAACAGGACTATCTTTAATCTGATGAAAGTTTAATCACTGAATTAAATATGTGCATATAAACACTAGTTTCAATATTACCCCTTTCTACTCTCCTACAAAAGAATTCCTCCTAATTAACACATTAAAAACAAGGAAAGCACTCTGTTTGAAACCTCCCCAAACAAAAGGAATGAAGCAAGAGCCTTAGGGACAGCATTGTGCGCTTGCATCCAAGAAGGGCAGCACGAACCCTTCCTTCCCTGAAGTGTCTGCCAAACAGGCTTAATCCTCACCTGCAAAACTCTCCAATCCAAGATCAAAACCTTGCCTGACTGAATAAGTGCTTTGTTAGTGAGGTCAGGAGCCTGGAGTTTACTAGGAAGAGAGAATCTAATTTCTTTACAGCTGTTATGCCAAGGTTTAATTTTTTAAAAGAAAGGAATTCAGTACCTTGTGTCCTTGAGTAACGCGATTACAGTAACGCGAAGGGAATGGAATCAAGACTAATCTGAATTTCAAATATTTTGTAAACAAAAGTTTAACAGAAAAGCACAGTAACTGAGAAAATGATAGTAATACAAAAATTTTTAACTGGCTTTAGTCTAATGTCCATCGGTATGTGCTTGTATCTTGCTTCAGTCTAGTCTGTTCTTTTAAATACATCAAATTGCTTTTTAAATCATGTTACTGATTGATCATACAGTCTACAACAAGAAGAGCTGTATATTTACCACCACAGTCAACTTCTGAACATTTTCTTCTCTTGCTCATTCTTGTTGGTGCCCCAGACCCTGCCCTGCCATGCCTAGCAAGTATTCATCCAGTTATTGTCGCTACAGATTTACCTATCCTAGATTTCATAACCAGAAAAATCATATAAAACACAAACAAGAACACCCAACAATGACCAAACAAAATAGAGAAAAATCGCACAATCACAAAGAAAGTAGAAATTATTAACACTGACACAATTTAAAAATGAGTCTAAAGGGAGATGAAATGATAAGGTATTACATTCTCACCTAACCGTATCTGCCAGAATCGACTTGCCGATGCTGTCTGACAGCGAGGCTGTTCCATTGACATCAGTTTTAGACCTCACTCCCTCCCAACTACACCAAATTCGGAACAAGGGAGTGTCTAGCTAATAAATGAGTAACAGGTTCTGAAAAACTTCTCAAATACTTTCCTTACATATTAGCTTAAATGTCTGAAAATTACAACATCTTTCACAGTTTATGGGAGGCTCCCATGAGCATGCAGTTTTCTAGGTCCAAAACAATGTAATAAGCTAAATTTTAAGCAACTACAGCTAACTTACAAAAATATTTACCATTATAGAACCAATACATTTACAGAAGACCTCAAACTTTTAAAAATTATTAATATTAAACAGAGTCGAACTGACCAGAGGGTTTCCATGACTGTCAATCTTTACAAAAGCAAACTCTCTCTCACGGAGCAGCTACTGGGTTCAAAGTATCCTTTCGGTTAGCAGTCACACTCTTTAATAGTGGCAACACCAGGGCTCAGGAGGGATATAGACAGTAGAGACTGGCTAGTTTATAGAGGCTCCCCCTTTTCAATGAGGGATGGGATATCATTCCTGCTAATTATCTGACTCTAGTTCTTATATTCATTCTGTCAATTAATCTTCAACTGTTGACTATTAACCTTGCTAATTATTTCGCAGCCCTGTTGAGGTTAGCACTGTTCTACTAACACAAAGTCCACCTTTCGAATCTACCCGTGGCTTCATGAGAGAAAGATGTGGCTGGCTGCTCCCGGAAGGTACACAGCCTCAGAAAGCTGACAGCGCAGTTCTGCTCTGCCCCATGGACACACTCTGGTTAGGATCAACTGGATGGTGGTGCTTTGACGGGCTGGTTGGTAACCCAGCAGTACAGTTCTTACGCTTGGAATAAACTCATCTTTCCATTCTATTTTTTTTTCCTTTGAGCATCTTATAATTTCCACAATTCTCTACCCACCAATGAAATCAAATTCTTTAAACTTAGTTATATTTTAACACACCACCACCACCACCACATTACAACTCTATTTTCTCATGTCAACCACTAAATCACAGATTTTAAACCTGGCACGATTCAATTCATATCACAAATGTGGCATCCAAGGTCCAAACAGTTCACATATTTATCAATACCAAGCCCTACAAACACACTTTTCAATATGAGTATAAAGAGTTTCAATTACTTTATACAACGGTGATAAAATTTTTAGAAATGCATCCCCACGATGAATATGCCTAATAACCACCAAGGGGATCAATGAGGCAATGTTAAAATCTCTTGACAATTCGTATAGTGAATACAAAAAACCCAACGCATCATCGATACCTGTTCAGATGAAAACTCCCTTCAGACAGACAGATCTCCACACCAAGCACAGGCGCACTCACCTCCCGGATGACTTGCTGCAGCTCGTCTTGCTCCGCATCTTTATGTATTCCTTCAGCAGCTGGCAGTGATCCTGGCCCTTCTTCCACTTCAGGGTTAGGCCCACCGGCTGCTGAGTCTTCTTCAGCTGCTCCAGCCTCGGCAGACCTCTCCAGCTCCGGGGGGGTCTGCACGGAAGCTGCTCTGGATGGAGCTGTTGGGGTGAGGGCTACTGAAGCCCGGAACACTTTCTTGCCTGGCACCACGTGGGGTTTGGGTTGACCCACTGAGTCACCAGAAGGTACTCCAGTTCTTCTGTTAGCATGGGCGGGACCAGAACACACAGAAGATGATTCTGAAGTTTCTTGGGAGAAAACTGATTCTGAGCTCTCTCCAGGGGGAATCCCAAACCCCATTTCTCCAAGTGCGAAGCCCAATTCAGACTTCAGGTATGACTGTTCCCGCATCAGCTCGGTTACCTAAAGATCAGAAAAATTATTTTTCTCCCTTCATATTATGGTTGGTAATTGCAAAAGAAGATTAAAATACATGGCCCCGAATCAAGTAGCTTCTTAAGGAATCATTCGAATTCATTAATTAAATGCCATTTGATTTCATTTGCAAAAACACCCAGTATAATTTAAACTTACAGTGCCCTCCACCACCAATATATGCAACTACAATAAACAGGGCCATTGATGTTGGGTCCGTACCCACTCGTGGGGAGGGCTCTATGGAACAAGTACAACTACCCCGAGGGCCCCCAGGCTGAGATGCCTGGGCTCTCCTCCACAGAGTGACTACCCGGCTGGAACCCCCAAATTGGGGTCAGCAGCGACCACAGTGCCCCCGAGTACCTAGACTGCCATCATTAGTCCCAATGGCACTTGTTTTCACACAGGTCCAAATTACTTGTCAAGAAGTTGGTTTTCCATTGGGACCCAAAATCACTACTTGCAGTGCTTTTGTCCCCAAATGAATTTCATATGCTTAAACTATAATAAGTAAAAATCCCACCATTGTTCCCAAAGCAGTCATGTTACAGATTCAACTATCCCTAAAGGACTTGTGCAGGCTCAGACTGTGAATGAGTATTTTCCCCTGGAGTAGAAATGGAAAACGTTTTATGGTTCCTTAATTATCTCCGTTAGGCCGTCAAGATAAATCACCACTACGAGTAGGCTGGGTTTGTAGTGGCAAAGAAATTTCACAGAAGTGCCAAACTCACTTCAAATCAATTAACTTATCAAAATATGTCAAAATTGTATGTCAAAAAGGTACATTACATCTAACTAGGAAAACGATGTGTTGGTGAAGTGTTGGATCATTCCCTTCCCCAGTGACTTAAAAGGAAAGAGTCTTACTGGTTCCATTACATTCAATGGAGAAGGGCATGACAAGTTATCAGCGCTTCTACTGCCATACATCCCCTGAAAAAGTAAGAACAATATATACATTTTGTCCCCAAATTTCAAGTGTTTTCTAATCAAATTAATGTCCTAAAAATAGAATAGCATTATGTCACGTGGTTATACTCAGTACTAATGGAATCCTGTAAAATTGGTCCTATGACTAAGAAGCTGTTACTAAAAATGTGTAAGCTTTCTGTTTCACTGACATCACCAACACATTTCTCAGAAATGGTAGGTGGAAACCTTGCTATGGAAACACACCTCATAAATGACTCAGCATATTCTAACTCTACTACAATTCCAACACACACTTTTATTTGATTCAATTTACACTGTGTATGTGTACACATTTATTCCTCCAGTTATTTTTTAGCAAAATCGAATGTGATATTCAATTAACGGTGAAAAGTTCACTATTTCAGCACCTCAAGACAACATATTCTACTAGTTCAAAGGTATTAACAAAAATGTAACTTGAAACCAAATGCCATGGAAAGGAATATTAGTGTCTTTTTATTGTTGTACATGCCTTTACGGGGTTTTGACTTAAAGATCCAGTTTACTTCCTCAAAAAGAAAAAAACATCAAGAATGTGAAATAAACCCAAATGAAGGAACATTTGAGAAAAGTGCAAAGCAAGCTAGTAAATAAAAAAAAAAAGACTGCGCGAAGTCTCCATTCCGCCCTTTGTAGTTACATGCCAAGGTGAAGATCTACATTAGTCATGCCCTTACTATCACTTTTCCTGAAAAGTCCTAGACTTTCCCATTTCCTATTATTAAAAGTTTCCAATATACTTCTAAATATTTAAGAAAATGAGAACGTTGAAAACTTGCCTATTCCACTGATCGGTGAGAAAGTTCCTTTAATCTTTTGCTTCCCTTTCCTCCTCTCAGAGTACAGGTTTGTAAATGAAAGCACTGTTTCTCACCCACAGGGAATGTGCTAAAGAAATCCCAGCTGGCTGTCAAAGTACCTACCACCAGCGCTGAGGACCGGAAGGGAGAGGGCACCCGCATGCTCCGCAGCTGCTCCTCCAGACCCAGCAGGCGCTCCTCCAGCTGCAGCTCCAGGTCCTGAAGCTCCATTCGGACCGAGTTCCTTAAACTCTGCAGCTGGTCCACTTCATATCTACGAAGAGAGAGATGGGCACAGGCTCAAAAGAAGTCATTAGGATTCCTATGTGTAACTCTCTTATCAAGTAATAAAGGCTACGTGAGGGTACTGAACTTCCAAGTTCAGTACGCTAGCACAACAGCATTTGCTGTTAAGTTAATTGCCAGCATAATTGCTCTTTCTTCTCATCCTCCCTCACCAAGACCCCCGACAGTAACTCACGGCCACCAGCTTCCTCACGTGAAGGCAGCAGACAAGTTTACATGGCGGAAACTATGCTAGAGGTTATTTCACTGGGTCACAAACAGACTCAGGATACACAGCAGAAGAAATAAAACTTCACTGGAAGAATAAGGCTGATGATGCTTTTCAGACTGAAAGACATCTTTAGTTACACTACTATGACAAAATGCATGCTTACCTTTCCTCGTCGGTCATATGATGGTAAACCAGGGTTTGCTGACGCAGCATTGCCAATTCCAAATCCATCATTTGTGTCCTAAACAAATTCAGGCTCCGCCTCATTACTTGGAGCTCCTGGAAGGTATTCTAAAATGCAATATAACGAATGACCACGTCTGTCATGCAGACTGTTTTGTAACACAAAGACTCAAGTGAGAACTTACTTCATAAAGAGGTAGAACAGATGATTTCTGGGTACTGTATGGAGAAGCAGCAAGGTCAGGCCCTCTTAGCATCGGGTACTTCAAAAAAGGGAAAATAAAATTAAAACCAAGGTTAAAGTGTCTACTCTCAAATTCTTTAACGTGTTAAGCAGGTAGTACTTTGAACCTAGGTATTTTCTTCCGACAGGCAAAAAAAAAAAAAAAAAAAATCTTCATATTGTGAGCAGGAACGAATGAAATCAGTTCCCAATGCTCCCGATCCCTTCTAAGTATTGCCCGTATAAAGGTAAATGAAAGGAGAAAGGGGCGGAGGAAAGACTATGGTCCGTGTCTTTATCTAAGAGGCCTTCCTTTTTGTCTACAGAAGGTCAACCAAGCTCACTGCCATCGCGTCCATGCTGACCATAGCGACCCCCTGCTCATGGGAGTAGGAAACCCAGTCTTCCTCCCGAGGAGCTGCTGGTGGTCTCGAATTGCCAACCATACCGATAGCAGCCCAATACATAAGCACTACACCAACAGGATAGGAAAACAACAACCAAAAACAGACAACGGCAAGCATCACTCGGAAATGACAGTCATCTGGGGCAAAGAGCAAGCAGTCTTCGTGGTCATTCCTAGATTGTTCACTAGGTGCCATTCCTTTACACAGTGAAACCCCAGACAATCATTCCTCGACTTAAGAGGAACTCGCAAAGCCAGAGAACAGAGAAAGGGAAACACATGTACAAAATAATAGGAGGAAGAATGCTAAAAAGGAAAAGAGCAAACAAAAATCTCAGTCAGGTGAGTCAGGGAAGTCTTCCCAACAGTGGTGCCACCAGAGCTGTCTTATGAGTAAACAGGATTTGGTCTGGCATAGAAAGGCATGGCTGGAGCATTCTGGCAAAGAAAGTAAAACATATATATATATATCATATCCCTAAGACAATGCTGTTTAGAGACCAGCCTGCAGCCCAATATGGCTGAAGCACATTGAATGAATCAGACTAGAGCCTCTGTCTGTTGCCCTGTGTGTGTGGGGGGGGGGGCGGCTGTGGCGGTGGTGATCAGTTGCGATGTTGATGGCACATCCCACACGAGAACCACGGCTACGACAGAACCAGCTGGCCTAGAAACCAGAAAGGTACCCTGGGAAGGGGACAGCTTACAGCTAGGCCCTCCCATCTTCACATTAATCATAGCTGAAAGGTGAAACATTTCGCCCTGAAAGAACTGTATGTTCCAAAGAGGACAGCGAGAGACTCTCATTCTGGTTAGAGAGCAGGCCATTAGGAAACTGGTCCTAAGACTAAAAGCAAGTATTTCAAGAAGGCCTATTTTGTTATAAGTTGGGAAGTTAGATTTAATATTTGCTTTCAAAGTGGCTTTCTCATCTGCCATTTTGTCATCACAAGAGACCCACTGGCACATGCTGGGCTGCCCGACAGCTCGCTGAACACGCTCACCAATCCACTGCATGCTTGCCATCATCTTCACGTCCTGTTTCCTCAATACTAGTTAGATCCCCAGAAAGAAAATCTGCATGAAAGCCAAGTATGCTGAAAACATAGTAATTTTCAAAGCTTATTGAAACAGTGATTCCAGGTCTACTAACGAATCTGAGCAGGGTGACTTTAAAAGTGATATTCACATGCACACTTTACCTGATTTTCTTCTGTTCTGGGACAGTCCCAGTCCATGAACCAGTGAAACTGGACAAACTTCCATAGAGTCAGGAGGTGAAGGGGAAAGCTTAGAGAAGTGCCAGCAGAACCAGGAGAGAGTGCTGCCCCAGAAGCCAGCGGGGAGGGCACTTAGAAAAGAGAGAAGTAGTCAGCACAGGTGGGGGGAAGTACCCTCAGAGGAAAGATCTGTTAATAATAGAGAAAACTTGACAATGTCTCTCGACTAAAAGGCAGATAATGGAGGAGAAACCGAAAAAAAGAGACTATTTAATGAGCAAAACCTCTCATGGAGGAAGGCAGGGGAAATAGGAGCAAGGAGATTAGTTACAGCTTTTACCTTGAAATACGAGGGAACTGTACAGGAGAAGGGTCAGTCTGGACAAGTTTAGGTATATAAGAAAATGAAGTTCATGCCTGATGGGTCTTAGCTTCCCAGTGAATAGGGGAGTTTTTTCCATACCTGTGAAAGATTCTGCAGCGAGTTTCTAATATCATGCAATACTCTCCGCAGCTGCATCTCAATGGTGGAAGGAGGGTTTGCAGTGCATGTCCGGTAAGGGGAGGCAGCATGTCTATGTGAGTAAAGACACCCAAAAGGAGACGAGAAGGCACTACAGGTGGTGCCGGATATGTTGGGGACACTGTGAGTGCTCAGGGTTCTCATGTGCTCACACAGGGGCCTCTCCTGCCATTCAGAGGGGACAGAGTGAAGGGAGCAGGTGGACTGCGATCTGGGTGCTGACGCACAGTAGGCGCAGGTGGGAGTCCTCCGGTGAGGACATTCCTCCAAGTGGTTCACCTCCTTCTCTGAGACCACTTCCTTCTTCCCAGATGCGGATGGAGAGATGAAAATGGTGGATTTGACGAGAGAGTGGCCGTCAGGCTCGGGCACCTCTCTTTCCATGTCCTGCTCCTCTTCAGGTGTGTACTTGTAGGTGAAGGAAGGTGGGCTGCATCTAGTCTCCTTCCCCGGAGACAAGCGAACGTTGACAGCAGACACGACCCTTACTGGGCTCAGTAATGTGGTTGGTAAGGACTGAGACCTTCGTAGGGGATAGCCAGCTTTTGCAAATAAGTACCTCTGTCTCAGCAGATCTTTCGATTTTATCAGGCTGCGCCCTACTCTTTGACCAGAGAGACCGAAGGCCTTCATCTGAGCTCTTTGCAAAGCTACATTAACTCTGTCCACAGAGGAGGGAGTTGGCACAAGCATATCTTCAGCGCCCTCATCGTGACATCTCGCTTCAATGGAAGCCAATGACTTCAGAATGTGGTGTGTGGTATACTGGGCATATTCACATTCACTGCTTCTATCCACGTCGCTTTCGGCACTCTCGTCCCTGGGTAGCTCAGTTCTCTGAGCTTGAGGCGACTCTTGGGTGCCAGGGGTTTCAGTCATGCCCTCTTCCTGGCAACAAGTGGACTGTTCATGGCCTTCAGGCTCAACGGACTCACACGTGGGGAAACGCTGCCTCTCTGGCCTTTTTCTGTCAGCGCTTGCTGCCGTCTTCTCTTTCCCTCTCTGAAGAGGGACCAGAGACTCCTCCTCAGACTCATTGAAATAAGGCTGGTCTTTTGCTGTTGGTGTGATAAGCTCTTCACCAAAGGAGGTGACTGTCGCCTCGCTGTCACAACTGTCAGCACTGCTCCCCATGGCTTGCAAGGGCTCCTGAACCTGCGAGAAGAAAACAGCGGAAGGGTGAAGAACACACGACCAGCATTCACACACTCACGGGAGGCTACTCTGCATGTACTGCTATGGCCGCCCTTCGGGGAATGGCCCCGGTCATGTTCCAAGCTGCCTGACCCATATAGATCGGCACGCAATGTTAGCTACTAAATAAGTACCATATATACTCGTGTGTAAGCGAACGTTTTTCAGCACAATTTTAATGCAGTTTTTGTGGCAAAATTAGGTGCCTTGGCTGATATTCGGGTTGGCTTATACTTTAGATGCAGCACTAAGACACAGTGATGATAAAACAAATTTTTAAAAAGAGAACGAGTTAATGTGCAAAATATATTCGATGGTGTTTTGAAAATAGAGGTTGCTTTCTGCGTTTTCTCGTAAAGAGTATTCATTCCATGTGGGCGCTATTTCCTTTAGACCATCTTTCCCACACCCATCTGCTGCTCTCTGAACAACGGGCACTGCCTCACAGAATGGAAGCAAGCTGGCAACAGTTCTGAAAGTTCTTCACCAGCACCACACTTCCCCAGGCCGCTCTCCACTGTCCCCTTCGTCTTTACTCTGAAGGAGACCTAGAACTGTGAGCAGCCCTTCTTTTCCAAGCGCATTCTCCCAGCCTGCACGTCTGACCTCTTCAAGGCCAGGGGATTTCTCTACAGTTTGGTTGCAGACTTTTCTGGATCACACTCTTCTTCTCTTGGAGCCTTTTCACTTAGCTGAACTGCCCCCTCAAGTCTTAAATGCGGCAAAAGAATATGCCACCCTGAAGCTACCCTGTTTCTCTAAAGTAGAGTTCCAATTCCTATCTTCCCTCTCCTGTTTCCTCTTAGTTCGTTCTCCAACTGACTGCAAGCAGTGCTGTGCCATCAACGTCCACGGGAGCCACTGATGGTATAAAAATGGAAGGGGAGCCTTTTCTTTTTCACACACATGTAAAAAATATTCTGTCAAACAGATAGCGAATTGATCAACGTAAAATCTGTAGTTAAATGCTTATGTAACATCTGCATCCTAGAAATAGTTTCCTTCTTCCTGTCATTTGAAAAATAAAGATTTCCGTGACCAGTCTTGAAATACACAGCTGTGGAAAAACACTACCTTAAAATGAAGACAATCACAGAGCCTCTGACAAAGAAGTTTACCTGCAGATGATTAAGAGAGAGGCAGTCTGTCGAATCTTCAGCAAAACCGCTGCTATCAGAATGCTGACTTGCAGTACGTAATAGATGATCTACCAAAAGAAATAAAAGCAGTTACACAAAACTGCTAGGTGAAACTTCAGTGAGGGCACTACTACTACAGACGGATGATCACCCACGGCATGAGCTTCATCTGGAAAAGTGTGCGCCACATATCCAATGTCATGGCATTACAGCAGAAGGGGCACAAATGCAAAGGAACGCTGACTCGGAGATCCAAGCCTAAGTTCTCGGAGTGCAGTTGCTAACAGTGCTGTAAGTTTAACGCATGTTGGCAAATCGAGCAGTGTGCCCTTTCTTAAAGGGGACGGCACAGGCAGCAGGGTTTGTTCTGTCGTACACAGGATCATGCTGAGTCATATCCGACACAACAGCCGGCCTAACAACAATTCTTAGAAGACAATTGGTTGGAATTTTAAAACAACAAAAAAAAATGGCTTTAATAAAAATAGAAGTCCCAAAGTACACAATTTCTTTTATGTAAAGAAAGATACTTAGTCTTTGTAAGTAATACTAGAAGTTTAAGTATACAGCATCCAAAAGTTATACTATTTTTCTAATTAGAAAATAAGAAGGCAATTAAGGCCAATATAGTCAAAAAACTGTTGCCAGCACACTTATATTTCTCTTATGTTTCAACTAATTCAAACATATTAGGGAACTTCAAAAAGTTCATGTAAAAATTCCATGATCATTTAAACCCATCTTCCCACAAAATTTTTGAAAGAATTCTTTCATAATAGTTAAAAATGTCAGCTCTAACAGAACATTGTTGATTAGGTAGAGATCATAAAATCAGCTTACTTCCTATGCCTCAATGCTCTAATTCCTGGTTATTACAACCTGTAAAATTAAAACAGTATATAAAAATCCACTAACACTTAAGTAAGGTGACCAGATTTAAAACGGGACACCAAATTGGGGGTGTGTGGGAGGGGATTATTGATTAAGAACTTGGTCTATATGAACCAAATAGACTGTTCCCTAGCTTGTTGTGCATTCTTTCAAAAAAATCGGGACTTTTTAAAGTGCCCCAAAGGGGGACGTCTGATCACCTTACACTTAAGCTAAGAAAGCCTGCTCACACCCACCCACATTGCCACTGTGGGAGAGGTCAGCACCACCACTACTGACTAAGGGAGACGCTTCATCGGATAGTACAGTTCTTCTGAACTGTCAAAGCGCAGGCTAAATAAAATATGCTTACTAAATCTGCATTCATTTAAAAACTTAATTACACAGCGAAGGAGACAAGTAACATCAAACCTAAAACCAATTAAAGTTTGTCTGAGTTTGAAAAAATCCAACTTTGCTTCAAGTTCAAATGGAAACAATATCAATGGGAAACTTTTCTTTTCCTCATTGCAAACTTAGAATAATTCTGTAATATAAACTCTACATCAAACACACTGCAAACGAACAGGACAGGCAGAACCGCCCCTGAGGGCTTTCTCCAGATGAGAGGATGGTGGTTTTGAATAATGACCTTGAGGTCATGCTTCCAACAGTGTAACCCACTAGGCCACCAGATCATAAGCTAATTCTGCAATACTTTGAAATTAACCCCCCAAAAATGCATAGTGCAGTATCAGGAATTATGAATCCAATTATGAAATAATTGTGAAACTGAGTTGTAATAAGCTATTACCATAGATACTAATTAGATATTACCTGAGAACATGACTAATCAGAACCTTTTCATTATATTTTGTATGTTTTTTCCTTCTGTCTATAATAGTATGTGAATAAGTGCTTTTTGAAGCAGTAACAGAGGGAAGCAGGGTTTGGATTGTTTAGAATGAAGACAGCCCATCTGACTGGTGACGGGCAGCTGCCAGGAAATCCTGAGAGTTGCTGCGTCTGCAGGAGCACCACTGCGCCTGCAGGAGCACCACGTAGGGCACGTTCCCCTGGCATTTGTTTCACACTGAATGGGAATTCACAGAGGAGTTGAGCAGAATGCTTAGAGTGCAGAGCAGGTGTAGGTAGTTAAAAGAACAAGAAGGCCTGCACCCACGGTTCCTGCTTTGCCTAATCACCATGCCAGTAGTATCTTCCTCCTGCAAACCGGGGATACTGAGCTTTCTATCTACCCTCGACGGACTACTGAAGGAACTAAGAAGACAGGCAAACTCTCTTGCAAACTATAAATCACAATCTAGGTCTTGAGTCAAACGTTTTTATTTCACCAAAAACATAATTTAAAAGTCCATTTCTCTACAGTAAAAGGTGAACTACAAAGGCGATTACACTTTCATCCTAACTGAAGATTAAAGACAGTATTTTCAATGAAGTACTGTGAAGTTAGAGGCAACATTAGAATGAGACAAAACAAAATCTGAAACCTTGTCTAGGAACACTGTCTCTCTGTCACAAAGAGCCAAACCAGAATACATGTCTGTAACATGCGAGCGTCAGGGAGCCGTTGAGAGAAGGGGCTGCCAGGATTAACGTGGGGGTAGCACAGTGAGGTAAATCAACCCCTACACGGGAGTGCTGTATAGCCGTGGCATCTGCCTGGCCCACGTCAGCTCGGTAGAAGTGCCGCATGTGGCTCTCCTCAGCATCCTCTCGGAACCCTGGCCTGCATCATGTGTCACCTGGCTCTGCGTATTGCCTCACGCACAAAGAAGCACCTCTGGGACCCATGTCCAAGGAAAAAACTGGGCTACAGACACATTGGGAACAGATGAACTCGGGCTACAGTTGACCACTTCTCAAAAGTCACACAGAATGTCGCTGATAGTACTCTGTCTTTTGGCGAGCTTTTGTAACAAATAAGACGCTGCTCATGTTCTCAACACAGCCTCACTGCTCAGCATACTCCCCACCACCCACAGCGCCTCAGGTCCATGAGCCTCCTCTCTGGTGTCCACAAGCGCCTAGAGATGGCGCCTAAGGCCAGCACCGCAGCTGGGAGGAAGACATTGAACAATGGCCTGAAACACACTCCTCTTCCTTCAGACTGGCTTGTATAGCTTCAAAGCCTAAGAAAATCTATGCTTTTCCCATTGACCACCTCTTCACCCATCTTCCACTCCCAGCACCAGCCTGCTGGCTTCATTATATCTCCTCTTTACCATGAAAGTACTTCATGTCTTCTTTAATAAGAAGACATCGGCTCCACATCCCCTCAAAAGTCAGCTTCACACATGGGTGCAAGTCACCAAATCTCTCCAGACCTAGACTTGAGATTCAAACTATTTCACTTCAAAAGTCCAGCTACTAAGGGACAAAGTAGTTTGATGCATGCACTATCAGTATTTTTGCCAAATTGGTGCAAATAATATAGAATTAGTGATTCTAATTCAGCAAGTACTATTGATTTAAGATACTCATATATCAAATTTACTAACTACCTTCCTAAATTACTATAATACTATACTGTATTATCTCCCCTCTCTCACACATGTACACACAAAACTACCGTGCTGTTAATTTATAACAATCTCAAAATGCCACCAGGAACAAGAGAGCCGGTATTGAAAGAGGAAAACCCAGATGTAAATACAAAATATAGTCTCCTCATTCAAAACTGATTGGGCTTTGTCTTAATAAGATCCTAAAGCTTTGAGTTATCAATCTGTCCTTTGACACGCAGTGAGCTGTTTTTTATTTTTTAAATACAATCCCTGTCTATCCACTCTAAGCATAGACTTTCCACTGGCTATGAACTTTACCATGTAACTTACATCTCTGAAGACCACAGAAATTTTCTTCCAGAAATCTTGATGAAACACAGGCATGGGGGATCAGGGACTTACTGAGGGAAGACAATGTAATAGGATAAGCCATCGCGTCTGACCCAAACTGTAGTGACCTGGGGGGAGAGCAGCTCCTTTCTCAGCAGATGGCAACAAAAGAAAAATTGTATGCAAATTGTCTCTTACTTCAGAGATCAGGAGAGAACAAACATATAATTTCCTATTTCAGGAACATACATATGAATTTTTGTTTAAAAAAAAAGAAACAAAAATAGGGTGGATCAGCATGTGGTTTTAAAAATAGCCAGCTCCACCTTCAGTGGTCATTTTAGCTTCTTTCCTTCCTCTCTCAATCTACAAAGTTTTGGGAATTTAAAGATCAGTCGATTCTTTTTTTTTTCCCTTGCTGCAAGTTAAAAGTAGAAGTAGATTCAAAAGGTTTTTGGTCAATAATTAATAATTCAGGAGAACAGGAGTAACTGCAACTCACTCACCTTTGGTCTCTATGGCTTGAATTTCATTTAGCCACGTTTAGCTATGGAAGAGAGATTGGTATTTTTGCCAGAAGCAGATTTAATGGCTTTTACCTAGAAGCCTTATTTGAATAATGAAAACCCAAAAATAGGTAATGCAGGGGTATTTTCAGTCCTGACAAGGTAAAAAGCAGCCTGAATTGTTGCCCTTTTTATCTTCCTCTGTTCTAGCCCCGAGGCACGGCTGAACAAAACTTCAAGAGTACATAGAATGGTGCAAAGAAGCCACAGCAGAGCAAGAAAACACTAGGTCACAGACACAACAGACTAGGAAATACAAAGCAAGATTCCATACAAAGCACGCTTGTGTTCCTACTCTTCTTCACTTACAAGGATTTCAAATATTGATTTAAAAAACACACAAACCCTTTTCCAAATCAACTAGCAACACCATGGGACTACTCTTGGGAATGAGTGGATAGTGTTCCACTTACCTCTTTTGGATTTGGTCAGACCTAGCTGGTAGGTGGCTGGAACAGGAGGAGCCTCTCCCTCTGTACTTTGAACCTAAAAGGAGATTTCGGTAGTTAAAATTAAAAGAATGTATGCCAAGGAAGAGCAAACTCATGATGGTGACTTATTAAACAAATCAGCCTGACTGAAACACCACCAAAGCATTTTATATTTAAATACAGCCTCTCCTCCCTTAGCAACACGGTTAGGTTACCCAGGTTGTTATAGAAAATCAATATTATGTGAAAACCGAGGTTAAGCACATGGGATCACAAAAATGGAAGATGACTACATCATCACATAACTACCAAATCACATCATTACTTATGTGCCAAATCTCTGAGAATCACACTCCTGCCAAGGTGGCACATAGCTTCAATCGCTACAGCCAGAGCTACATTCACCGAGCACCTTGGCATTCCTTACTGCCAGATGCATGTCCTCGCTACACAGAGCAGCCAGCATGTTTGACATTATTGTAAACACAAAAGGTCAGATGGTAAAAGAGCTGATCACTGAGGAGCAAAGTAAACACAAGAGATCATAAAGGGGCTTCAAGCAGTTCATAGAAAAACGGAGTTAAAGATACTGGGTTTTTCCCCCCACAAATTTTCTGAAGCCCTCTCAGACTTCAAAACTGTTAGAATGTGCCACAAGACAGTCTTCTGATTTTCTGGTTAACAACAGCACTGAATGCATAAAATACTTCATTTTAAAAAATTACTATTGGAAGAAAAATAGGTCTATAACAAAATCCTTCTTTTAACTTAGACCCCAAAAAGTGGTCTATTTGTTCTGTAACATTTTTTTCAATATGCATGACTACATATTTAGAATTTCAAATTCTTCACCTCTACCCACCAAATCCTCAGTTTGGTCTAAGATCGCTAACACTGTAAGAGATTAAACATTGGGCAATTAAATATATTCCCATCACTTTACCTGATAAAAGATTAATATTCAAAATAGTAAATCCTAGTAATAGAGACTAATGGGTGCATGATGGTATAATGGTTAAGTACTTAGCAGCTAGCCAAGAGGAAGGTGTCAAATCCACCAGCTACCCTGCCAGAGAAGGATGTGCAGTCTGCTTCTGTAAAGATGATAGCCGGGGAACCTTTGGGGCAAGGCCGCTTTGTCCTCGGGGGTAGTGAGGAGTTGGAATCTGCATGCTAGCCACACAGTTTGGGTTTTTATGGTTGGTGGGGGGCGGGGGTGGGGACTAACAGACAAATTATGACTCTATTTAAGTATAAGGAATACTATTTGTGAGTAATAGATATGACAAAATAATGATTTGTAAATTATCAAGGGTTCATGAGGAGAGGGGTGGGGGGAGGGGGGATGAGGAGCTGATGCCAGGGACTTGAGTGGAGAGCAGGTGTTTTGAGAATGATGAGGGCAATGAATGTACAAATGTGCTTTACACAATTGATGTATGTATGGATTGTGATAAGCGTTGTATGAGCTCCTAATAAAATTATTTTTTTTAAAAAGAAGGAATGATATTAAAAGAGTTCCAAAGGTTAAATATATTATTACCCAATTTAAAAATTACTATGGTTTGTGGTATTTTTGTTCCAGTTTGATGAACCCAAATTTATAAATCTTTGAAAACCCAAACACACTTAAATCATCACCCTCTATATCAAATAGGATGAATTCTACTATTATTATTTTAAAATTATGTTATTCAAAGCAGCAGACAAGTTCAACAGGAAAACCATTGTTTTGTGTACAAGGGAACAAAATGCATTTTCTTTTTATATTCAACAAAAGGTCTATTATTAGTCTCTATCCAGGCTTAATTCACTTCAGAGTTATCTGTAAAGGCAACATCAACCATAGTAAAAGAGTCTAACAGAAACCCAATTGCCTCTTTCATTATGTGCTAGAAATCTCGGTTTAGGCAAAGCATAGTATTTTTAAAAGATGTAGAATTGCCACATTTTCTGACTCTTCAGACTTATAAAATTAGTCATAAAAAAGCTAAACTTTAGTGAAAATATACCCTTAATATACTATCCTTTAAGATGAGGATCCTATTGAGAGAGAGTTGGGGGGAGGATGTCTACACTGTCTTCACCACAAAGGCTACAATTGAAGGGGGAGGAGCTAAAAGGATCGCATCTTACTAATAAAAGTAAAAATTACTCGTCTCTCTCTCTAGATGAAATCACAGGGTCACTTGTTGTATAGGCACAGGTGTTGCTAATGATCATGGTTGGATTTCTTTGTGTATGTTTTTTTGTTTTGATCACAGTTGTACAAAGAAAGCAGTCAGACTTCAGATGGCACAAACCTCAAAGAAAGATGAATCAAATATAGAAGCTTGGTTTATACAACAGATGTTCTCTTCAATAGGTGCAAACCTAAGACATTTTCCATGAGCTGTCTTTCGTTAATTGAACAATAGCCAATTATTGATAATAGAAATGAGAAATGGTTAACACAGTTCACTGTACTACTCTAATATTAGGGTACCCTTAAAATTTTTCATAATAAAAGTGAGGGGAACCCACTAAAACAAAATCATGTCCTAACACTTAGTCTCAGTATTTTGGTATGACAGGCTCACAGGAAGAGCTTTAAAGTTTGGGTTCCTTCATTTTAAATGTTTACACAACACATAGAATATATCTTTCACATACAATATCGTGCTAACACAACAGGTATCTACTCTGTTTGTTAATAATCTGTGACATTTATTGTGACCACGACCCATTATTGTGTTCTATAGAAAAGTTAATTATGTGCATGTGTTAGTGGGCCCTTACAAAGTTCAAAAACACCTTGTATAGAAGAGTCTATAAATCTGAACTAGAGCTTTGGAAATTACAATTCAGTTTAATGTCATCTCAAAAGTGTTCAATGAAAAATATTTTTCTAAAGTAGTAATGTGAGGCTGTTTGTCAGAAGGCTTGAGTGCTTGTCCAAAGTTTGACTCTAACAGCCAAACTGACCTGTAACAAATTACACGATTTCATCAAAAGTAGCAATATTTTATAAAGATGTGAATTCTAGTCTTTTCATGCCATTTACTAGCTATATGTCTGGATGACCATCTCAGTTTTCTCTGAAAACAAAATATTAAAATGACTACCTCCTAGGTCTTTCCAATGATCCTATTAATTCATAAGGGTAAAACAAAAACAAAAAAACACACAGCCATCAACTCAATTTTGACTAATAGCAACCCGCTAGGACAGACCTGCTCCATAGGGTTTCCATGGCTATCAATCTGTCCGGATAAGTGGGTCCTACCAACCTCTCCATTTGTAGCCCAGAGCTTACCCCACCCCCGTGCCACCAAAGGTCCCTTATAAATGAAAGTACTCTGTTTATTTCTAGTACAGGCACCAATGCTGCCAGAAGAACGAGCAAAGACATCTTGCTATGTGTTAAGAGTTGCATGAGCCCCTAATAATATGATTAAAAAATAAAATAAAATAAAAATTAAAGAAGCTGGGCTAAGTCAGATTTGAGAGACGAAAACTGTGAATTGAGGCACTAGGACTTTTTTGAAAGACACAGTGGAAATGAACTAGAAAATGATAAATTTGGGAGAATTTGAAGTCGAATGTTTTTTCACTATGGCATGGCTTTAAATAAAATCATCTTCATGCAAAAAACAACAACAAAAAAAGAACTACACCCAGAAGGCTTCAGCTAGGGTGAGGAGGCTTTGTCTAATGTACTTTGGGCATGCTATCAGGAAAGACACGTCCCCGGGAAAGGATATCATGCTTGGCACAGTGAAAAAGAGGAAGAACTCAAGGATAGGGGTTGGCACAGTGGCTGCAGCAATGGGCTCAAACGTAACAACTGTGAAAATGGACAGTGTTTGGCTCTGTTGTACAGAACTAACCTGACGGCGCGTAGAACAGGGCTGTAGATCAAGAGAGCCCCTCCCGTAACTGTGTACACCGCCTAAGGTATCCTGACCCCACCTCCTCCTCAGTGAGGGTCTGATATCAGAGGGAACAGTATCTCTCGCAGAAAAATGGTGAAGAACTATTGCTGTAAATTAATTATCAAAGGTTCGAAAATACGGAAGAACACTTCCTCACCTGCAACGTGAGAAAGCGAGGTAGAATCCAAGATCCCCTTCTGTATTAATGTAATTTATCATTCTGAAGTTTCTCAAGGGTTTTTATCTTATAAAAATCACTATCTTTATAAGAGCTGTTAAGAGCTCCCAGTAAAGTGATTTATTTAAAATAAACAAATAAATAAAAAGCACACTCTTTAACACATACACATCTCTGTAGCTTTTACTGTCAGGATATGAGTTAAATTTTTTTTTTAATTAACTGGAGTCTTTTGAAGATCAAATAAATAATAAACGTAATGGTTAACTGGGATTTGAGATATCAGACCTCAAATTCTATTGCTGGCATTGTGGATACAATCCTTTACTTCCAAAGACATACGGTTAAATTCGGAAGGCCAGAGGAAAAACTTACCTATTTGTCAAACATCGGATTGATCTGCCAATCATTTTAATTCAGGCCAGTAAAATATTCCAGAAAAGAATGTTGATATTTAACAGCTACAAATAAGTAATAAGTTACATTTTTAAATCAACAATCAATGTGAAGACAGCACTAGGGCCAGTTCCTAAGTATTTCTTAGTTAAAAAAAAAAAGTCTACCTAGTCAAGAGTAGTTTTATTTGAATATAAGTTAATTTATAGAGTTACAATCTGCTTGCAAGTAAACACAGGTAAAAGTTCTCCTTCCTCTTATACCTAAAAGGTAAGGAAAATTGTCCTCACCCCTAAAACAACTGCTTATGGAGTAGGGGCTCCCTTGGCTTCCCGCTGAAGCACCCGCACAGACTAATCTATGCTCCAGAAGGGCCACAGTGTATTCAAAATAAGCCAGGCAAAAAAACACCACCCAGACAAGTTATTAAGAAATTAGAAAATGCGAAAGTAGAAATGTACAAGTTTCAGACACACTGAAAGGATTTAAATAGTCTAATAGTTAAAAAGTAAACTGGCTTTTCCTTGAGAATAGTCACTGGCTCTTTTATCATTAAATATTAAGAAATGGCCCATTTCCTTTCACAAGGCCTGGGTCAGACAACTATTTAGGTCTCTTTCTGTTCAACTATCTCCTCCTCTTGCTCCCACAAACCGTCAAATCAGCCCCGCAACTTCTTGCAACTGACAATCCTTACCTCCTGCCTCATGGAGACTAGGCGGCTCCCCACACAAAGTCACGCCTGCAAGGCTTGCTCCTACCTGGCTACCCCAAAGGACCTGACAACCGGTCATCTATCAAGACCCGGCTCACTGAGACAGAGAGCTCTCTCGTAGAGTTAGTGTTTTGACAGGAAGCAAACTCCCAATAGGAATGAGACCTCAACGGAAAGGGGTTTTAAAAAACTAACAATCCACTTTGAATGGGATTTAAAACTTTGCCTCAGTAAGATTGTTCTCTTCATTTGTCAATATGATTCAAATCATGCTTAGAGAAGAGGAAATCAAAGTAACACATATTTCCCTTCTTTATCCATTGTTTTATAAGCGCTCTTTAAAATTCCCAAAGGGATAGAAACAATTCTAGAAGGCTTTTCTCCTTATTTTAAGTATATCTGAAGAAAGGGATTCAGTACTCTCATAATTCTTCCATTTGCAATGTAGCTATTGGCCATATTCCTTTTCTGAAAACAAAAGTATTTCAGCATTCTTCAACCACAGAAGCATGTAATCTCGCATTTCAAAAAACGTCCACTTCAGTGCCATCACTTTAGGAGTCTGGTGGTAAAGTGGTTATACGTTGGGCTGCTAACCGAGAAGCAAGCAGTTGGAAACCACCAGCCACTCCTCCGGAGAAAGGGGAGGCAGGCTTTCTACTCCCATAAACAGTTACAATCCCGGAAACCCACAGGGCAGGCAGTTCTACCCTGTCTTAGAGAGGTCACTGTGAGTCAGAATTGACTCAATGACAGTGTTTTGTTGTTTTCTTTAAGTTTCTTTATTAACTATCCTTGCCAGTACAAAGCGCAAAAAGGAAAAACAATTTTAAGTCTATGTATATGTATACACATACACATATATCTGTTTATTTATGCAGAGAATATAGACTATCATGACCAAATATGAATTTACCACTCAAGTACATCTAGCACTTTATAAATGCTTAAAATAAATTTCATATACCATATCTTAATTTAAAAACAAAGTAAAAATTTAAAAGCCATAGCTTGGAATTCAAGGATTCTACAAATTATAAAAAGAATTTGATACATTTGAAAGTAACATATGTAAGTGTGTCTGAGTTGACAAAATAGATTTGTAGCTACTTCGCATGCTGTATTGAGATTTTTTGATTCTGCTTTGCAGTAAATAAAACAAGGAAACCAGTGGTAATCTGACCGCTATAGAAGAGGGTTTGCGATGAAAGGCAGAAATGTGTCCTTTAATTATGAGCACCAGGACAAGTTTTAGACCAAAAGAACATCACAAAGGAATCACACTGGGACATGGATTTTCAAACTTTCAAAGATCCCTATCTACCCCTGCAGGTACACCATTTCTCCATACTGTATCTAGTCCTTGACCAAAACTTACCCTCAAAGCCAGAGAAGCCCCAGTAATGCGATAAGCTATGAGTTAGGCTGCTAACCGAAAGATCAGCAGTTCCAAACTACGAGTCACTTCTCAGGAGGAAGAGGAGGCTCTCTGCGCTCTTACAGAATTACAATTTTGGAAACCCAGAGACGGTTCTACCTTTCCCTACAGGGTTGCTATGAAGTGGTATCAACTCAACGGCAGTGAGGTTTTTGGTTTAGACTTGCAGAGCCATCTTCACATTTACCTACTGAGACGTGTTAAGGTAAGCTTTCTCCAGAGCACGCAGCAATGCAGTGGCAGAGACAGAACTCAAACCCCTTCCAAACCTGTGTTTGTAACTATTACGCAAGATTGATTTGAATTTGAATATAGTCTCTCGGGGCTTTCTTGGGCATCAAAATTGTAAACAGAGAGAAAAGGGGTTAAAGTTCAAATACCAGCTAGTAGAAAAGAGAAACCGATGAACTATCCCATGACCCTGACATCACTTTGTCCTTAGCCTTGGTTGTGAAACAAAATGAAAACCGAACGAAGTCAAAATTAGGAAGTCGAATTGAATTTTTCTAGCATAAATTAAATAGCCATTTTTCATTGTACACATATTTTCTCGGTTACTTTATACACATTTTTTATTTGTGAGGGCACAAATACGAATTCACTATCAGGGAAGTCCCAATAATTTGTTACCTACCTCTTCCATTTCAAAGGAATCCTTCTGCTGGGCCATTATGCTTCGTATGGAGGGGTTCGTCAGCAGTGCACATGGCTCCTTCCCAGGTGGGGACAGAGGAGTGCCTCTCAGCTCGGTGCTGCTTTCTAGCTCGCTGTGGCCAGGCAAGTTGAAATCACTATTTAAATCAGATTTGACAATACCAGCTTCCTCCTCCAGTCTCTTCTCATTACTTTGAGATGCTTTACTTTGCTGATCTGAAATGTCCCTATTAAAGCTACTGAGGGCATCATCAGGTCTACCCAGGTGGGCACTCTCCGTAACAGTCGCTGAACTACCTGATGACTCTTCTTTCACTGTAGCCAACAAGAAAGAGGAGTCTTTCTTCTTCATGAGTTTTTGAACCTTTTGATCATTTTTATTAACACTTTCTTCCATCACCGCCACACTTAGAACTTTCCCTTTGTCAAGCGTGGGGGAAGGACTGCTCCCTTCTTTCTCTCCTTTATCAACACATAAATTGAGTTTTGATAGTGTTTTCATTAAACGATTTGCAGTGTTACTTCGAGTTAAGGGTGGAGGTGAATCGGTCTCCTTCACTGAGGCCCCCGAGGACAGACTTCCAATTCTCTGCAGGGGAGTCCCAGAGACTTGGGAATATAAGGAAGAAAACGCATTGGCCACAGTAGTAAGCACTTCGATTTGTCGAAAGCGGCCTAAAAAAGAAACACACACACAAATATATGTTCATACATACGTACATAGTTATAAACATACATTTATAGATATGTACACATATACATAAGCACACACACATATATACATACATATCTAGATACACACAATCTTATAGTTTGAATTCCATTAGCTGATCTTAAACCCAAAGATTCTGAAAGACTTTTTTTTCTTTATCTAACACTTACACACTCTTTACCAAGTAGGAAGGGCGAAGTTTTATTTTACACTTAGGATTTACAGTTTTCTAAAAATTTCAAAGTAAACACAAACATGAGGACAATACTGAAAAAAAAATAGACCCTGAATAATTCAGTTTAGGTTTTGGAGTCCATTGAAACGCTTCCAAGTGCTGTCCTAAGGAAATGCACTTAAGTTCCTACTTTATACCTAATTTGAGGGTCATAGACCTCTAAAAGCCAATCCTTTGGGTCCCTAGGGCCTCCAGTTTGAGAAACTCAGGTCAGCAAGAAAAAAAAACAGGCTCTGATATGAGTCGAAATTATCCCATTATCCACACGTTATATCTCTAGAAAAGCACCTGGAATTGATCAACTTCACTGAATGTTTTAAAGTCCTTTCCCTTCTTGAGGAAACAATCTGGAGGTAATAATATATATACAATATATATATATTATATGGCACTGCAAGTCATTTACAGTAATGTTTAATTGAGCAAATAATTGAGGGAAGCAGGGAAGAACACTTCTGTAAATAGAAACATAAAAATCAAAGATTTAAGTAAATCACTATGGGTGGAAATGTAAAGTTTTTTGGTGAGACAGTTACTCGATCCTTTCATATGCTTATTTTAACTCACATTACTTATCATTCCAGTGTTATTTCTGGAAACCAGTAAAACTTCTAACTATTTGGCTATGGATGCTATAAATAAAAATAATAATCTGCAAATACTTAACAACCTTACTTGTTAAAGCATAATTTGGGTTTTCTACTTCCATCCGTTGCATCTGAGCACTCAAAAATACTTTAATATCTATTCCTCGAGCAAACGATGATGAATTAAAAAATCTTGGTGGGATTTTAGAAGCAATATCTGGTTCATCTCGTCCAAATCCAAGATTATAAAGAATTTCTTCAGGATCTTCCTCATAGAGTTCCAACAACTCTGAAACACTACAAAAAAATAAAACACATCACAATATGAAAGTACCACAGGCCGGAGGTCACATTATAGATGAAAACATATTCTTGCTTTCCTCAGGAGAAAACGCTTCTACAGCTTCAGCTCTGTAAGCAATTATGACTTCATCATCTTTAAACATTGTATATTAGATCAGATAGATAACCCTTCAAAAGAGTCCGTTTCTCAAGCAGTTTGTAATGGGGAACTAGGCATCTCTAAGAGCCGTTCAGAGGCTCTAAGTGAAAGAAGTCCGGAATCTAAGTGAATCTTTACCTTCCTTTTCTTGTCATTTTAAGAGATTCCCAGCAAAGCAGCTAAGATAATTAAAGGGCAGAAGGAGGAGAACAAGAAATAAACAGATGAAAGGAGAGGATGCTCTAGAGAGACTACTCTAGATGGGAGGTAGAACGTTGGTACTGGGGCACATTCTGCAGAACCTGAGCTTTGCTGCCGTCTTATCTTTGGCTCTCCTGGAAGAGGCAATCCATTTGGCAGCCTGATGCAGAAAAGGGAAGGAGGACCTTTTCCTTTTCCTCTGACCATTTCCACCACTCAGGAAGGAGGAGGAGTAAGGTGCAGGGAGCAGGGAAGTTACACAGGGGTAACTTCTGATCCAATTTCACAGGAAGTGAACAACTATGATCCCTTGCCCCCTCATTGTCCGCGTGCTAACCCAAGCCTCCTGAGTGGCATTGAGGGAAAGCTGGAACATTAGGCACGGAACTTAAACAGGAAGAATATTCAATTTATGTCTGGGAGAAGGCTCAGATTCCAGTAGTTTGGTTAACAATTAAAACTGGGCTTTAGGTTCATTTACTTGCCTCATCAGAGCATGTATTTTAAGGTCTTTATAAGGTTTGATGTTAGGAATATGTGCTTCAATGTAACTAAGATACCCAATTTCTAATTAAGAAAGGTTTGTTTGAACTTTCAGGTCAGAGTTCACTTATGTCCTAACAGGTGGAGAACTTTGGTCATCCACAAGTAGAAGCTACTCAACTAAGTAGTTCTTATTTCAGTCTGTTGCTGGGGCTCAAAACACTCATTTCCAGGAGCATGATAAGACTACTGTGGCCTTTCATTAAATCCTAATAGTCTTTAAAAGATGCTACTGTTAGTTATGCTGGTGCATGAAACAGTGGTTTCCTTCTGATTTCTAAAAGTTAAGAGCATGTAATCTATAACACAATTCCACCGTCATTTCATAATAAGTTACCTTGAAACTGTCCCACTACTTTTCCCAGAGCCAGTGGAATTCATACTTCTCCCTTTCTGATGAAACTGTAGTCTTCTCTCTTTGGCCAATATATTGTTGCTATAAGCAAAATCAGATTATATAAAACTTTATCTTCACAAATGCTCATTTTTTAAAAGAAATAGAACAAACTTAGCTACTTACCAGTTGTCAATGGGAGCATCACTTTCATGGAGGTGGTTGGCTACAGTTAAAAAGAATACAAGCAAAAGGCAATTGTTAGTAGGACCATACCTAGGGGCAGTCTCCAGGTGATGAACCAGTTCCATTTGTGTCTTTAAGACTTTATAGATCAGCCAGAATAGGTGCATACAGTTCTTATTTAACTTTAGTACAAGAAATGGCTAGAAGTCTTTCCCAGGATTTAAAAGCTGCATATGTAGCAAGCGAAGGTGACTGTGATGAAGACTTTGCTGTAAATTGACTCAAATGTGTGAAAGGGAAGGCAAATTTACATTAAATTAAAGGGAAAACTGTTGTTTGTCTGCAAATCAGATGCTCTTAAACTTGGGACTGCTTATACTAAGATACAATAGTCAAGAGAGCAAGTCCAATATTACAGCAAAACGTCTAATATGCCCAATTTTTGTCTTGGCTGATTAAATCTGTGTCATCAAAAATAATACACAGCATGTTCACTTGGGGTGGGTGTTTTCATTCTGTAGTAATCTAAAACTTCTACTTAAGTGCTTAAAATAAAAAGACCAGAGATAGCAAATTACATTTCTTTGTTTTACAATAAATAATAAAATACCATGTGACAGGTAGTATTAAAAAAATTTAATGTCTAGTAGAGAATATCTTGAAGACACAATAATCTAGCATTATAGTAGCAAATTTACATTAACTTATATTTTTAAAATTAAAAAGTCGCTCCAGCTACAACCAAATCTTAGCATATAATTTTTTAAAATTCTGCTTATTATGGCATGTTTCCTTTTAATAGTTATCTTTGATCCTAGATTAACAACCGCTGATCTGAACAATGCTATTAAGGTTCCATTTATGAAAAACATTCACTGCAGTTAACCTTATTAGGTAAATATAAAGAATGAAACTAATTATAAAAATAACTTCCATCATACTTGATGTGTATTTCCATACACACAAAGGGGCTTCTAAAAGTTCATGGAAACATTCTATTATTTTTCCCTTGCATCTTCCCACGAACTTTTTGAAAGCCCTCCTTGCGTGCGTGTGTGTGTGTGTGTGTGTGTGTGTGTGTGTGTGTGTGTGTGTGTGTATATGTGTACTCAAATGCCATTGAGTCAGTTCTCTCATGGCAACTTCTTATGTTTCTCTGTATTTCCAGTACATATACAGTGACCCTAGAGGACAAAGCTCTTTAGGATTTCCAAGACTAAAAGTTTGCAGGAGCAGACAACTTCATTTTTCTCCCATAGGACAGCTAGTGGATTTGAACTGCCAACTTCAAGGTTAGCAATACAATGCCTAAGCCACAGTGTTACCAGGGCTAAAACACCGCACTCAATACTTATGGGATGAATGAAAGTAGCTTTGAAATAATTGTCACTAAAATCTAATAGCTCCATGCTTTCATGGGGCTCCCTTTAATGTTCTGGTTTCCAATGAAACCATTCAATGCCATGATACTTCCAAAGCGAGTAGTTACAGCAATACCAAAATACATTTAATAAAGGGTTGACATTCTCAACTGTACCAATTAGGGAACAGTAAGTTTAAGGTCTTTAACATGTTTAGCCCTTAAAAATATTTTGACAAAAGTACTAAAAACAGCTTTACTAAGATACAGTCTAGAATTTTTAATATTCAACTAAAACAACCCCATTGCTGTCAACCTGATGCTGGCTCACAGGCCTGGGGGAGCAGCAGTTAAGCACCTGAGCTGCTAAGCAAAAAGATCAGCTTCGGAACTCGCCATCCAGTTGCACTCCCAGGAGGGAAGATGTAGCAGTTTTTCCATGCTGTCTGAGAGTCTCTAAATAAGCTACCTTACAGTTTGATGTAAAACAGCAAAAGAGCAAGGATGTTCAATTCAGTGATAAACTCACTATTTAGCAACTTATGATTTTAAACGATGTAATAAAATTCTTAATTCTTTTTTTAAGTACACTTTAATAAGTCAGCTGCCAACAATCTAGTCAACCCAATGAAATGAAACATGTTCAAAGGGCTACAAAATAACTTTTAAGAAACCAATAAAACAAGCAATAATATATATATGTATGTACACACACATACACACAGTTGGAAAGCTTTCTTATAAATCCAAGGAAAGGAATTCATAATCTGTGAACATTTCTACAAAGAATAATATACTTTTAAGATGTCAATGAAATCTGCACTAGCACCAGCATTTGCACACCTAATCAAATTCTACTGTTCTGTCTTTGTCCTTTAATCTTCTACTATCAGAAATTCGGCAGGAGGCACTTAGATGCAAAAAGAAAGACAAGCTGCAGCTGTAAGTATGACATCAGGCTACCTCACACTAAAAACAAGCTTCCATTTGGTTTCCTCACGTATAAATATTTAAGCTTCCTTCCTTCTGCAGCACAATTCTTCCCTCAGTTCTATCACCGCTGCTTGCCCCAAACAGCTCCTTTAAGTATTTAAATCCAAGGAAGACATACGAGCATTTTTCGCTGATTTTCAGATTCATCCTGCATGTCTCCTACAGATGAGATTATCAAAAGACGGGATATGAAATGTGTATGGGCCATTTGCAGAGCATTTAAATTTATCTCTGAAGATCATAAACCTGAAAGCACTTGACTTTCTCATTTTCTTTTCTTTCCTTTTTATATTTTAAATGGACGACAGGAAAATAAAGTCCTTCCACCACAAACCTTCGGCTCCCAAAGACAAATCATCTTCAAAGCTTCCTCCATTTCGCACAAGCACACCTGGAAGCAACATTTGAAATTTCAGAAGATTGATCTTGGGGCGCTTACTCTTTGCTAGCCCCCAGTTAAAATATTTGTCTCTGTTCATATCAATTTACCAGGCAAAATGTTTTATAAGTTAGCAGTGAGATATTTCAGCGCCCTAATAAACTCAAGTTATTCTGAACCTAAAATTCTAATACGCCACAGTTCAGAACTAGGTGAAATTCTCAGAAGCTGGTCAACACATCATTTTAGACTTCTTACTCCTTTGCAGATGTTCAATGAGGTAATATACCTTACCTGAGACTTTCACGGAAACCAGGTCCTGGAACAATCATTATCCTACCCCTCATATGGAGTCGGGAGAGATTCAGCACGATCTTCCTGATCCTGTAATTTTTTTCTTAATGTGCCTTGCCACTACCTGCACATTCTTGTTGTACTTTGAACTTTAGAATTCTGCCTTACGCAGGTGGTAAAATTTCAGGCGTGGCAACCTGAGCTAATGTAAGCACAGAAATGCGGCACTGAAGTTGACCTAGTTCACTCAAAGCATATTTTTCGCATACTTATCTATCCCCTTTTTAGACTGAACTGATCTTTGATGAGCTAGCGTGACAATAAGTATTGCAGTATCACATTATGGAAGGGTTTGGTAATCTGCTTAAAATCACTGTCATGACCAGGTGTCTCCCCTTTTGGCTTCTAACTCCAAATACCATTTTAAAATACACATAAACATCTCTTGTATAATTCATGTGTACCCCTATACTGTCACCCAGAGGGGGAAAAAATGACATAAGGTCCTCACAAAGGACAGACTTAAAGGCAACTTTCGCTTACCCTTGAGCGTAGTACCGCCACTTTGCTCATCCAGTGAGGCTCCCAGAGGTGTGCTGAAACCACAGAAACAGACGCCTTAGTCTTGAAAAGCTATCTGCAGAGCCGAGACGGCACAGCCTTACTCAAAAGGTGATGGCTAAGCAAGCTCTAATCACTGCTGAACTCTCCTTCCAAAACACACAAGGAACGCAAGTGAATTACATATGTAATAGGCTAAGAATTAAGCAAAAACCTATCTTTAAGTCAGTCCACCAGGACTGATTTAATCTCCCATCTGCTCTGCCAGCAATTAAGAGCAAGAATGGCAATTATAAATGGTATGAATCGGCATTTTCTTTACAAAAAGGAGAGAAAATACAATAAGCATCAGGAAAAATAAGGCAGGCTCCCCTCACTCCCTTCCTCAAAACAGGAAAAAGCATCAGAAGAAAGCAAAATAACCCTTTAGTAGTTGGTAAACTAATCTTAAAGCAAAAAAAGGTCAAACTCTAGTTAGAAATTGGGCTCCCGTTTCCACAAACCTCATCTATTTCTCCACCTCTAGTTTTTGGAACAAGATTTCTCTTTCATACCTAAGTGGAGAAGCTTGAGGTGCACGCTCTGTGTTTAAACTTATATATATATAGATATATATATATACAGTCTTCATTTAGCTTTAAAAAGAAAATGACCGACAAATTAGCTTGAGAATCAACATTAAGAACAATCAGCCGCTGTTAAAATGTTTTTCACATTCGTATAGTTCAAACACAGATCATTGAAAATTTTCTTTGTTTACACACAAAACTACTTTCCAAAGTAAAGTTATCCAAAACTAAGGTATCGTACAAGATACATTATTGTATGTTGATAACTGTTTTGTGATACAAACATATCTGCAGTTAACAAGTTATACCTGTTACAAATTTGTATGAGCTGTGAGCTTAATCTCCCAAATATCAAAGAAATATTCTTGAAATGCCAATTGTTAAATATTTGTGTTTGCTGTTTATGCAAGCAATGACAGTTCTTTGAAAAATGAGTGCATTTCAAATGCAAAATCCGTAAAGCCATCACATAAAGATATTACCATATCTTTAAGTTTTTGCTTCAATTTTATGTAACTGTAACTCGTGCCTTTAAAAAGCTGTTCTTCACTGGTGGCTACTTTTCGAGGCCCTAACACTGCATTCTCCTTTTACGGGTGCCTGTGCGGATTTGTGCCCTAACAGAAAATGGAAAATAAACAGAAGAGAACTTGTATTCTTCTTTAAGAAGTCTCTCACTCACACTGGGATGGTTACTCTCCTCCAAATTCGGTCAAAAATTCTATTGGCTTTGAGATGCAAGCAATTGGGGTCCACTTAGCAAAAAAATTTAAAAAAAAAAGAAAATAAAGCAAGAGTCCCTGTAAGATGGGGGGGGGCATCTTTATGGAGGATATGGAAAACAATAAGAAAGCAAAGAATATACGAGAACTTGTGAAGGGGTTAATACGCTCTTCAGGTCACTTGATTGATACGTACAAAATACATATACGAAGCTTTTGGAAAAAAAACTTCAATTGCTACCTCAAAAAAAAAAAAAATAAGGCACACATCTCCTAGGAGTCAAATCTGTGATAATGTGGTCAACTTGCAAAGCCCATTCGTTCTAGCTTTCCCGAGTACCAATGACTGCCACCTCCGTGTACAGCATGTGTGACTGCAGGGAACGAGAGGGAGACTTTTGAGGAAGCAGCAGCAGACTCCAAAATCTATCAATCTATCAGACCCCAACATAAATCAATAAGAACAACAACAAAAAGTTTTTTTCAACGATAATCGAGTCACAGTCAAAGCCAGCATGTGCCTGCTGTTTTCATCTTTCAAAACTGCACTTTAAAAATTGATTGATATACTCCTATTTCGTGAGCTCTTACACAATCTTAATTCATTCCTAGATCATAAACACACACAATGGGATGCTAAGTTTAATTTAAAAAAATTCTGAATGCAAACCCAAATTTAAACAGTGAAATACCACAGACTTATTTTGAATTCTACACCTATTTTAAGATACCAAGAGTAAACCGATACTCAGTACTGCATTTAAATCAAGACTGAGATAGAAGGTTCTGAAAGACCAGAGCAAAAGTAACAAGACATCTCTTTCAAGCACAGCTCTAAGAAGAGACTTAAAGAATACTGGCTTCACAGGCTCTCTCCTCCATGGTCCGAAACATGCTTAGGGTAAGTGTCACACTTTAAAAGTTTCCACTCATTTGGATATCTAACAAATAAACCATTGGAACACTATGATGGTTTCTTGATCCAGTGCTGGAATGGAATCAATAAGCCAAATTCTCTTAATTTCAAAGGGAGAGCGCTGGGTTAGCACTTGATTGTTAATCTGGGAGTCAAGGCCTCAAACTGGGTGAGCATATCTGCCTTGCCCCTGCGCAGCTTTAGAGAGAGAACCATAAAGAACCAGACCCAATGCCACCATCACTTCTGGCACCTAGTGACCACGGACAGAGTAGAACTGCCCCACAAAGCTGCCAAGGCTCTAAATCTTCCAAAGGACTGCCATCTTTCTTCAGCCTATGGAGCGGCACATCGGGGCTTTAACCACAGCCCCACAGGGAAGTGTCTGTATTTCACTCTCTCTCAGAAGAGCTATGAGATTCGCTAGAAAGGTTAAGAGTTCTGTAGTGAAGGAGGTACAGTGAGGCCCCTATATAGTCATCAAAACAGGACACCCAGAGAGTAAAAACCAAACTGCCACCCAGTCGAATCTGAATCCCAGCAACCTTAGAGTAGTGGCCAGTATTTATTCTGAAGTAAAATAAACTGGCTTATATGAGAACCCCTTAAAAAAAAACAAAAAAACTTCCTTGACACTGGAACTAGGAACAAAATAATGAGAACATAAGCTGAGAAAGCAAACAGGTGCTTAAAAGCAAACACCAAACAAAAAACGATAAAACGACCATCTTCACACAGACGTTAACAATGAACAAATAAACTGGAGACAGCAATTAAAACATGAGACAGGCACATTTTACTGCAGTCAAATGCTCTGGCAGTATGATTCATCTCCTCTGTATTTTATCAAACATGTTTTGTGCCAGTTGCCAAAGCATGTAATTAAAGCAGATTTATACAGACTTGAATGCCTTCAAAGCTCCATTTCCCGTCTGTGAATTCCATCGCCATCGGACAAACCCATGGCCAAGAAGTAAGCCAGAGGTACAAAGTTTGCAGGTTTTAATAGCTCCCCAAACAGAAGGAAAGCATAGAAATTTTTAAAAGCCCAGTTAGTGTCGTTACGTAAATTCCTCTACCACGCAAATGAAAGGAAAACGATTAGGTGCCAGATGCAGAGCTGCCAAAACCAAAGCAGGAGAAAATACTTGTTGAAATGTAAGAATGCCTTCAAATAAAAACAGGGGCACGTAATTAACACGGCATTATCGGTCGCAGGTTTCAGGGCAGCTGGGACCTAACTGTGGAAGCCATGCTATCGCCACGGCTGCCCCCACCAACCCCACTGCCACGGAGTTCATTCCAATGCATAGCCACCTACAAGGAGAAGGGAACGACAGACGGTCTCCCCTTCCCCCAGCTGAGCAACTGGTGGGGGCTTGAACCACCGACCTTGAAGCAAGCAGCCCAAAGGCTACTTAACCAAACCGAGCCACCAAGGCGCCGAACAGTCAACACAGCCGCCAACCATAAGTGGTCACAGTACTTCCATTTCTCGTCACTTAAGGAGGAAGCTATCGCCGGCTCCCTTTCCGGTGACAAGTTTACAGCGGCCTCGGGACGCACGAGTCCCCCGGCGGGGGCGTCACGTCTGCCGGGGGTCGCCGGCGGCACGCGCGGACTCACCGGCAGTCCTTGAGCCATATCGCGATCTTCTCGTTGGGCACGTTTCCTGCTGGGCAGAGCAGGGGACAGCTGGTTACTGATCCCAAAGGAACGCTGAGTGTGGGGTCAACCTGGTCACTCCCAAGTTGGAAAACCGACGGGGCCACAGCGCACGGAGTCCGAGCGATCTGTCCCGGTCTCCGATCCAGGGGAGACCAGGTGACACGGCGGCTGTCCGGGGTGCCGCGGGAGGACCCCGATAGGAAGTGCTGGGTCCCCCCCAGCGGTCGACCGCCCAGGCCCTGGCAGAGCCCGGCGCACGCCACGCTCCCCGCCGCCAGCCCGCACTTCCCGCTTCCCCCGCGGGCCCGGGCGCACCCACCTCTGCCCGCGGCCGCCGCCGGCAGCTGCGCGCTGGGGAGGTCCTCCTCGTCGTCCTCGTCCTCGTCCTGCGTCGTCGCTTCTGTGGACAGATCCTCCGTCTCCGACGCCTGCCAGGAGCCGCGGCACTTGGCCCAGGCCTTCCTCCGGCGACTCGCCACTTGCCACTCCAGTTCCTCCTCCGCCTCCGCCGACGAGGACGCCAGGGGCCGGTCCATGGCCGCGCCTCGGGCTCCGCGGCCGCGGCC